TAATAATCAAAAGTATCGTCTGATTGTGTCCGTGGACTGCGCGTATCATGTATGAGTGGTTAGCTTTGTTGATGTGAGGGGATTGGGTGTACACCGAGTGTGTGGGTGGTTGGCGGGTGCTCTTACTGAAACAATTTTTTTAAAAAGCACCGAGAGTTTCATCCTGTAACTGTAACCTGACGAGGTGTTGGACCATTTGACCTGTCCATTAACAGGAAGGATCTGCAGCGTCCTGGGTTTTTCCCTCCACAGCTCCTCCGTCTGGGACACGCCCACTTGGACACGCCATCTCACGATTTTGTCCATGTCGTTATTTTGTACCTCTGACTTTTGCTACAACAGTTGGTCGCTTTTAAGCACAAGGGGATATCCCCAAAAATGTTGTTTTGAGAAGATCGAAGAGGTAAAGTTTTTGCCCCTTGTTCAGTTTCTTCACAAGACAAGGAGAGTTTTTCTCTATAACCAAACAAATATACACACCAATGAAACCAAACTTCTCCTATAGGTAGGGCAATGCCCACTTTTGGTGCAGGTCAAGATTTCTGGAAAACCTCGACATCTGGGTTAGCCCGCTTGTCCTTAGAAGCGACCTATTGTCTCCTCAGACAGGAAGTAACGGACTTCATCGTATGATTTGTGTCTGCTGTTTTCCCCTCTTCTCTCTATCTCTCCTCCTCCTTGTTTGTGTTTGTTACTCTCTTGTAACACCTCTAATCTTCGGCACTTATATGACCTTATTGTGTTGCAAGTGCCGTGAAACACTTACTAAAACTGAACTCTCTTTTCAGCGTTAATCTCTTGGGTTGAGCAGACATCTATGATAAAATATGCTGTACACTCAGCTACCTTTGACAATGTACCTGACAAAGGTATGATATGGCATACTACCTATTATGTACCTGGCAAAGGTATGATATGGCATACTACCTATTATGTACCTGACCTATGTCCGCCAATTTTTCTCTTCTCAGCGTTAGTCTCATTGAGTTGAGCACCGACTCCTCAAACCCCAGCGTCCGAACCCGGGCCTTGAGAAGACCAGAGGGGAGCAACAGCTCACTCTCACCTCCCACGGGTAACTGCTCTGTACCCAGTACTTTTCGGAATGCTCCCCCC